TAAGAATTACGATGAAAAACCACCAGTAAGTAATTACTGGTATTATTGTATTATTGTATTTTACTGGTATATTGTATTGTATTATTTACAATACTAGTAGTAACTGGGGGTGATTCTGCTCTTTAAGGAGTGAAACTACAGTAGTTACTTTTTTTAACACGTTTAGGTATACACAGCAATGTGCTGCTATACCCTGTTCTATATGAGAGATTACACAGTGTAGAACAAAAACTATAAGCTCGTCTAATATCCTGACAAAAGCACGAAGCTTGTAAAAGTATAACTTTCACTTAACATTCTCTCGTCCTGAGAAAACTCCATTGTTTTACTTTTGAATAACGTATAAGTTGTGCTGTTTTTGTTTTCCTCATTACGAAGGGAGGTTCGTATATATCTACTACTGTATATCTCGTATTTTTCCTGCCCGAAACCTCACGGGAGACATCTCCCGTCACGCAGGGTGCAGTCGCACCTCCACAGATCTCCAATATCAGCTCTTGATACTGGTAATGGCTCAAAAGGGCCACCACTTACGGGCTATTCATGCCCGTGCTACCTTTTGGGTGGCTTAATCTTCGTCAATCATCTGCCCGAAACGCTTTGCGTAATAGTGGCTTTAGGCATTGTATGTACTAGCTCTTTCTATAACTCCATCATTATTTGTATCACACCTTGTATGTATGTACTTTACCTGAATAAACATAAGAATTTTAACATTTGAATTTACTATTCTATATGAAAGATTTACTCAGTGTAGATCAAACACTAGCTATAGCTTCATCAAATATTCCCATCTCACAGGATGGTTAGTCATACATGGACAGCATTGCACAGACCATATACACTGACGGATCACTCAATGCAGCTACAGGGAGGGCAGGAAGTGCTGTTATTGCCCATCAGCCCGATGGCAGCACAATTCAAAGAAATATCCGAATTAGTAACTGGGCGTCCACAATGCAAGCCGAGTTGGTAGCGATACTGGTAGCACTCGAAATTATTGACAACACTGAAGTAGACAGCTTAATTATTTCTGACTCCCTATCCTCACTACGAGCAATAAACAGTTTGCAATCAAGTAATAACGTGCTTGTCTTGGAAGCTAGACGTAGATATATAAGAATACTTAGCAAGAGGGTAAATATAAAAATGTTGTGGATTCCTTCTCACATTGGCATGCAGGAACATGACAAAGTTGACGCCCTTGCTAAGGCTGCAGTAAATAAAGACAGTATTGAATGGAATCTTGAGTTATCAAATAGGTCCCTTAAAAGTGTCATTAGACGAGAACTCCTGGATGGATTTGAAGAAAGAAGAACAGTGCAAACTGGAACTAGCAGGTCCATTGTTCATCACAATGAAATGTGTGAAGTAAAACATGTGTATGGGGCAAGTAACAAAGTCAGTAGACTAACAGATGTTGTCACAGCTCGTATAAGACTTGGCTACAAGTATCTCTGGCAGTTCGGCTTGTATAGGGATCTAGATGAAGTAAAGTGTAAAGTGTGTGGACATAGGCAGGGACACACACTCGAACACTATATCTTGGATTGTTGTAAAATTGAGCCATTTAGAGATAAATCTAAGCTCACTCTGTATGATATGGCAACCTATCTTATTACCATGGATAAATTACCTGAAATCCTTGCACTGTACCCACATTTTGCTTCCAGTAGATGAACGACATATGAGATTCAGAAACAAGTAGTGTATTGTGAGGACTAATAATAAACAGAAGCTCCCCTATGACTCTGTAATATCCCCATTGGCTAAACTATTATGTATTAGCGACAAGACCTACCATTAATGTATGATGACTTAATGTAAATATGTAGCTCTTGTAATAGCACTTTCTCTGTAACTAGCTGACATTGTATCCATAAGGTGTGAAGGATTGGAGAAATTGTTTATGTAATAATCTAAGATGAGGTCTGATAAAGACCTTTTGTGCCCTCTGTAATGCTTTTTGCGCTACCGCTCACAGGATGAGTATGGGGTGCACAATAAACTAGCCGCCTTCGCCGGCAACAATCAATCATGGACAAACTATTATGTATTAGCGATAAGACCTACCATTAATGTATGATGACTTACTGTAAATATATAGCTCTTGAAATAGCACTTTCTCTGTAACTAGCTGGCATTGTAACTATAAGGTGTGAAGGATAGATGAAATTGTTTATGTAATATAAATAAATAAATAAATAAATAAATAATCTAAGATGAGGTCTGATAAAAACATTTTGTGCCCTCTGTAATGCTTTTTGCGCTACCGCTCACAGGATGAGTATGGGGTGCACAATAAACTAGCCGCCTTCGCCGGCAACAAATCATGGAATCAGGGAAGAATGTGATTGTCTAAGGGTTCTGTTACATCCATTGAGGGTGAATTTCAAATCGGGATTAGTTGAGGAATAAGGCTTTATACGTGTAAATTCTGTGGAGCATGTTGAAGGATTTGACCTGACGGCCACAATCTCTACAGCGGCCTCAACGGGAACAGGAAGCCAGCGGCTTGTCAAACGTCCCCCTTGTTCTAGCTGAGGGTTTTTTCAACTGGATTTCGAAACTGAAATGTTTTGGCATTTATGTCGAGAGGGGCCTCGTAGCCTGGTGGATAGCGCGCAGGACTCGTAATTCTGTGGCGCGGGTTCGATTCCCGCACGAGGCAGAAACAAATGGGCAAAGTTTCTTTCACCTGCCCTGAATGCCCCTGTTACCTAGCAGTAAATAGGTACCTGGGAGTTAGTCAGCTGTCACGGGCTGCTTCCTGGGGGTAGAGGCCTGGTCGAGGACCGGGCCGCGGGGACACTAAAGCCCCGAAATCATCTCAAGATAACCTCAAGAAGATGTCGGGTAGACGTTTCCATGGGTTTATAATTATAATTCATTATATCAGGGGACAGGAAGCCAGAGTATATTCATACACGTTAGGCTTATATCGAGGTCCCTCCCCCCTCAGGTCGAATTACTGACCCCGCCTGGAATACAACCCCACAACAAGCTGACTAACTCTTGAGTACTGTACCTACTTGCTGCTAGGTGAACAGAGGCATTAGGTGGAAGGAAATGTGCCCAACCATTTCTGTCCCACCTGTGATTTGAAACCGGGATTATCGATTGGACGCCAAGAACGAACCCGACTATACTACCGGGACCCATATTAACCCATAAGGTTTATAACCCTTTGGGTGAAAAAGCATCTCTTATTTTCTGTCCTATCTTGAGATGATTTCGGGGCTTTAGTGTCCCCGCGGCCCGGTCCTCGACCAGGCCTCCACCCCCAGGAAGCAGCCCGTGACAGCTGACTAACTCCCAGGTACCTATTTTACTGCTAGGTAACAGGGGCATAGGGTGAAAGAAACTCTGCCCATTGTTTCTCGCCGGCGCCCAGGATCGAACCCGGGACCACAGGATCACAAGTCCCGCGTGCTGTTCGCTCGGCCGACCGGCTCCCTCCTACAGTGTGGCTTGTTGAGCTTAAAGCTGTTTCTTCTTGTATGCGTTACATTGACCTTTTAAAGAAGTGGTCTGGATTAATATCCTCCATCTTATTCAGTATTTTAAATGTCTTGAGGAGATCAGCCCTGTCATGTCTGGTTTGCAGTGTTGTTGATCGTATGGCCCTCAACCCTTCCTGGTATAAGGCTTGACTTAGTTCTGCTGAGGTCAAGTCTCTTGTCTATGTACAAGCCTGGGAATCTTTCCTCACTTTTACTTTCAGTTTTCATATTGTGTAATTTGAAGATCAATTTGGTTAAATTGTTTCCAGATCATATGTAGAAGATCTCTCCATTATTTAGTGTGAGCTTGTTGGTTGGCATCCTTAAGTGGATCGCGTGTAACCCATTGATTACTATATCATTTAAGGTGTGTCATCAGAAAATAGGGTTAAGAAGAGTAAAGACATATGGTAAGTCATTGATGTATTTGAGAAATAGTAGAGGTCCTAAAATGCTGCCTTGTGGCACTCCTATGATTAATGATAAAGTGGAAGGGGTTATGTCATTGGTGACTATGTATTGGTGTCCGTTGTTGAGATATGATTGGATATAACAGTAGTGGGGAGCCAGTCGACCGAGCAGACAGCACACTGGACTTGTGATCCTGTGATCCCGGGCGCCGGCGAGAAACAATGGGCAGAGTTTCTTTCACCCTATGCCCCTGTTACCTAGCAGTAAAATAGGTACCTGGGTGTTAGTCATCTGTCACGGGCTGCTTCCTGGGGTTGGAGGCCTGGTCGAGGACCGGGCCGCGGGGACACTAAAGCCCCGAAATCATCTCAAGATAACCTCAAGTTAGTTAAACGATTTGGCAGGTCGTATTCCAGGGAAAATAAAGATTAAGACCTACCAGAAATACTATGCAAGTTAGTGGCTTTGCAAGAATGTAAGAACTCTTGTATATATTTTACTTTTTTGTAAAGGAAAACATCCTGCCAAGCCAGCATATTTATAAAAGAATTCCAAAGAACAATTTAAACTTAGAATACATGTACTATTACTGTACTTAACCAACAACATTTAATGCGCTATATGGGTTCGTATCCTGGCCGGGGAGGATTTACTGGGCGCAAATCCTAACTGTAGCCTCTGTTTAACTCAACAGTAAAATGTGTACTTGGTTGTAAAAATGATTCTTCACGGCAGGGGATCGTATTCCAGGGACCTGCCCGAAACGCTACGCGTACTAGTGGCTGTACAAGAATGTAACAACTCTTATATATATCTCAAAAATATATATATATATATATATATATTTTCAAAGGAATAAGTCTTTAACTGACAAAATTAAATTATTTACATATATATTTAGCATGTGTGTAATCCTTTTCTATAGATTGCCACCATTGGCAGGGAAAACCTCTTTAGTCACAACAGGATTACTGTTCTTGACATATACTGTACGGTACAGTGATATTTTTCCTAGGTTGAATTTCCTTTTCTCATATTAACTCATAAATTTATAATATTTTGAGATAACATGTAAATTAAATAGCATTTTGTAATCAGCTTTATTGTATAATTACATAAATTACCTCATGTCTATGTAACATACTTTTCATGGAAATGTTTTTATCTAATATTTCATTTTTTTAAATAAAATAGAAAGTGTTAGATAATTATATACTATGGCACTCTCATTTCGTGCAGAGAAAGTGGAGGAAAGATAACACACTGCTTATCTATTCATAAAAATTAGATAAAAAATGGTGAAACTACAAATTCGTTCAAAAGTACCCAAGTACGTACAGGTATGACCCAAACATTATATATAATAGTGCAATGCATAGAAGAGGCCTTTTTTTCACATTCGGCATACTTGAGGAGAGCTGCTTTGCGTTATAGGCGGAGCCATGTGTTTCATCGTAAATGTACAATTGATGCAAGGACCTTGATTAGTAAAAAAAAAAAAACATACTGGTTACTATCAGGATCTTTGCACGCTATATGGGATTCAAAAATCCCACCAAGATCATGGCCATGCCATAAACCTTGAAACACCAGAATCTTGGTCCACATTAGATTAGTGCATATTGTAAGTATTAATTCTAAAGGAAACATAAGGAAAATCATGGACACCAAAAACATCTACATAGATTTACATCAAACATGTCGTGACAATATTAGAGGAACAAAGACCATACAACAGTCAGGTGCACACATAAGATCTAATATGTTAGATGACCCAGGTTCCATCAAACACACAATGTAAACAAACAAAAAGAAGTGTTAAGCAATACAGCCGCTCAACCATCCTTTTCACTCTCACGTTTGATTTAATTGTTCTCAATATACGAATTTATGATGACCAAACCACTCATCAGAAGATGAAGAGACGACGATGTTTTGGTCCATCCTAAACCATTATCAAGTAGATCGTCATGATAATGGTCCAGGATGGACTGAAACGTCATCGTCTCCTCATCTTCAGATCTGTGGTTTGCTCATCATATCTTCAGCCATGTGATTGTGACTCATCATCTGCATACAAATTTAAATTAGTATTATAATCTGCAGCGCACCACATACCAGAATTGCACCGAGGTACTGCTGCTGGTGAAAGAATAAATTACATTTTATTGAGAGAATTGGTTGGTTCCACTGCAAAAATGATACACAGCTACATTAAACTGAACAAGTTTCCTCAACAGAACATAGAGTAATATATATAAATGAAGGTATTTCTAAAATACATTATAATTTAAATTTACAAGCTTTGGAATGTACACACACAAAAGCAATTTTACAAAGGAATATGAAGAATTAAATTGAGTTTTAATCTTTGAAATGTAGTCTATTAATTAATGATACATAATTGTTAGTGTTGTACCTAGGTCTACAATGTCAAGAGGAAATCCTTGTATTTAATACATTTTTGGAATTTTTTATACCTAAATTTTTAAAGAACAATTTAATTTTTCCAAAGATTTTCCTTAATCCATAAAGACCATATTCTTAAACATCTAAGGAGAGCATCACTCTTTATGACTTAGTAATATAGCCTAAATGACAAACTCGCACCACTACAACTTGGTGTGCCACCTTCCCCACAGACTATCACAGTAACTCGGGAGATGTTTAACAATATGACCACAAGGCTACAGTAAGGCAACAGTTGTAACATACGAAAGGTTCATTGTGTATACTTTAATTGTAGGCTTATTCTCAGGCCTCTATAATATAACACTAATTTCACATTTGGTATACAAATGTTTTCAAAATAGTGATAGCTTCACTCTTAACTCTAGGATTACTTTAAATACAATATGTAATATTAATGTGCGTATATCTACCTTCAAGTAAAGTATACCGAGTTTACCTTTCAACACAGATGGTTACGATGAAATGCATTGTTTTGACAGTAATAGGAAACAACACAGATTGAGACATAAATTCATAAACCAGCACGCTACAAAATAAGAAATATTAGGTTGTAAAGATAAAGCTTAAAATTTCTCGTAAATGCTTTACATTTAAGCCACCTAAGCCAATTTTTGCTTTCAAAGATTACTTCACTAAACATTGGGATTCAAAACCATCTCATTTGCATACTGTCATTGTAAGTTCAGAAAAGCTTCTCGGTGTAAATTCATACTTCGCAGCACAAAGGAATATAATAAAGCTCAAATCTGGACAACAATAATAGCGTCTCACTAAAAATGTTGTATGAATGGTATCAAAATACACAATGAGCACAATACTGTACTGTATTAATAGTCATCTCACAAAATGAGCCCCACAGCAACGAAAGGTGTCGACAGGAATTCATCATTGCATAATTTATCAAATATGGTATATCAAATAAGGTGGAACTCTAAATGGTGGATGCTAGCTGGAGAGGTTTGGATTCTGATGAGGACCTGGATGGATGCTGGTTTGAAAATGGGGTTGTTGACTTATGAAGCAGGTTGCCGGGTAGCAATGGTGGACACAAGACTGATGGATTATTTCATGTGTGGGTTGGTTAACCCTTAAATGGCGCATCGCATCATATGATGCTTTGACCGACTTGCAGTAAATTGCGCATCGCATCATATGATGCTTTGGAGTACCGCGCACGATTTGAAAGGCCCGCAGGGTATAGGGGGTCCCCATACGCTGCCCAGGGGCTATAGTAAACAGCCACCATTTTGAAAAAAATCCAGCTCACGCTACTATTGCGTGGGAGGCCTCATGTGAGTGAGTTTGGGTGGATATAGATAGGAACTGCTTTGTGTGCCAAAGGGCCTTCTGCAATTTCACTTGTTCTTGTCTTCAATGTCTAGTTATTCCTACATGCAATTTATTGTCAAATTCAAATGCAAATATAACCAGGAAAGAAATACTTAATAGTGAATATATTCAATCATACATACTGTACTGTAAGAGCAAAAAGGAATGATTTCCTGTGATAAAATTCTCATATAACATTCCCGCCTTTTCGGGAACGAATCCTGCAGGCTTATCAAGGTTCCCCATAGGCCAATTACTCACCCTTCCCAGGATGCAACCCATAACAGTTAACTAACTCCCTGGTATCTATTTACTATTAGGTGAACAATGGCATCAGGTAAAAGGAAATGTACCCAAACATTTCTGTCTTGCCCCTAAATTTGCTTTAGATTTCACTAGGCAATCAGTCCAGTATATTCTAATTAAACAATTATTAAAAAGTGTTAAGGAAGTATGGCTATAAAGTATAACACTGTTCACTGCTAAATAATATCTAAAAGTTCCTAGATATCATTCAGGATGCAAATGAGAATAGAGGTATAAGACAATGTCAAAGGAATCTGATTCACCTAGGATTCTATCAAGAAATCTGGTGTGTATAGGATCTGCAGGAGAGCAAAATCAGCAGATTCCAAAAAAATGGGTGGGAGTAAGTGGAACAATGAAGGTAAAACAGTAAGGCGCAGATCTCTAATTCCATCAAGGGTGTTGAACTATATGTAAACAAATCAAGACATATCTCACTTCCTATTTTGGTGAGAAGAGGAAGAACATGAACTAATCTTTCAGGAATGTTAGGTATATTTGATGTATTTTACCAGCAATACTATTCATTGACATAGAGCAATTGCTGGCAACATTTATGGAGAAAAACATAGCACAAGGAAAAGCCTTTACCGTAGATGATTTTGTTCAGAACTTTAAACACAGAAAATCATGAGTAACATCCACTACAGTAAAGGAATAATGATCCAACTTACACACATGAAATTATATCAAATTGACAAAGTTTTGTTCTGTCTAGAACCCTTATTAAGTTGTCACGGACCAAAATGACATCACTTTAATTTTATACGTAGTCGAGTTATTTGTTTCAGCCACATTATTGCAACTTATTATCTGCACAAAAACTGCAGAACCAATCAACACTCCCTAATACTGTACAGTAGATATGGAATTTTTCGTTACAATTTCAGGTAATTCAAGATAGTAAAAAACTGAATACAGTACAATTGTACTTCAACATCAATTCCATACTTTTCCTTATGCAAAGAACTTCTCAAAGACTATTATAGTGCTGATGCAAATAAATAACAAAAACACCATTACCTACAGTAACTACATATCACAAGTTCCTCTCCCATCTATCATTAATCAATACTGCAAGGTTCTTTAATAGAAACTTAAAACAAATTCCTCCAAGTTTCAACTTTTAACCCACAGAATTAGTTACCTTCCTGTAACCCAAGTAACTTTTCCTTCAATCCTGCACGTTCTCTTACAAAGCCCATTGCTAATCACACACGCACACATTGCAGCAGAGCATCTCAAGGCCTGTGCAGGCGATGAGTCACAATAACGTGGCTGAAGTATGTTGACCAGACCACACACTAGAAGGTGAAGGGACGACGACGTTTCGGTCCGTCCTGGACCATTCTCAAGTCGACAATCGACTTGAGAATGGACCAGGACGGACCGAAACGTTGTCGTCCCTTCACCTTCTAGTGTATGGTCTGGTCAACATCTCAAGGCCTCCCCAATTTCCCAGTTCTCTTCTTATACCTTTCTCAGCAGGTCCATATCATGCAATGCAATTCCCCCCGCCCTTCTCAATCATTCATTAACCCTCTAAACTGCACATCTATTTAATAGTACTGTACTATAATGAGGTGAGCATTACTAAAATAGTTAACAAATTAAATTTAAAAATCGCCCTTGGCGATTGGAGCACAGGAGGATATCACAACTAGTAATAGGAGTCGCATCAAGATTAAACCCAGAAGGACCCCTTATGTAATTTATTTTAGCAGCTTATGTTCAACAAAGCTTCTCTAAGTAACACTTGATAAAGTTACATTCCCTCTTTGATGTTAAATCTGTAAATTAACATTCCTGAATTATGACAAAGGTAAACTAGTTGGATATAGTTGTATGTCAGGCTAGCGCTGAATCTAATTTTCATTATGTAGTGATATTTATCAAAATATTTTCACTTACATAGCACCCCATTAAAAAAAGTATAAAATAAAAATTTGAATTAATAATAAAAGAAAGTTTTAACATGAAAATACATAATATACTAAACACACAACTTTCATTATCTCAGCAGATAGGAAAATAACTCGGCCGTTCTTCTTTAAAGCTTGATAAGGAAGCACCAATAACATTTACCCTTACAAGTTGCCACCTCTCAGCCTAACATACCAACAGCTGCAAGATGCTCCAAGCAACAGCCTTCCAGATCCAGTTATCACAAGACAAGCCCCACTCCAGGCCAGGCATGGGAAGTAGAAGAGCTCTCGGGAACCCAATCTAGGTAATTATAAACCAGAGAACTGCATATACACACACAGCATCTTTGCTCAACACACATTACAAAAGTGATACTAACCATAGCAGAAAAAAAAATCCCATAGTGTGTGTGTGTATATATAATAATGAACAAGAAAAGCATTTCAAATTCAAAAATGAAAATAAATGTCACTTTAAAGAACAATGCGAACAACACACAAATTATAGATCTCATAAATACGCAGCTGTAAATGTGATTCCCGAAACATGCAGAATATTCCAATATAAGAAAAAGGCTTCGTGTAAACAGAGCTCCAACACAAGACTCAAAACTAGTTATCCGTAGCATTTAATGTGCAAGGAAGAAAAGTATTATACATACTACCAGTTACAGATGTTACGAGTACACCTGGAAGCAAGTATGTACTGTATACATGCTTCAGATTATACCGGTAGTGGAGAACACATGATACAGAGTACTCCTGCAGCTAAGCACACATGCTAAAGTACACATGTCATTACAAAACACTTCCAGCCATAAATACATGTACTGTACACATACACATCGTGTCCGGAAGGCGGGAGAGCCCGCCTATCATAATTCACACTATATTTCCCATTTCTAATGATATATCTCATGATTTCTAAGTCAATCAAACAAGTTGAGCTTTATTAAAAATCCATCTATGTTATGCCATTTAATCTTATCAATTGACAAATACAACTTTCATTGTTGGGGGCAGAAAGCGTGTACTTAAGCTTTTTTAAGGTCCCTCTAGGCCAACTATTGAACTTTCCCTTGGATATAACCCACAACAGTTGCCTAATTTTTGGTATCTATTTAAGTGCTATGTGAAGAAGCATCAGATGAAAGGAAACATGCCTAACCTTTTCTGTCCTGTCCAGGGATTGAACCCAGGTCCTTCAGGTGTGAGCCAAGGATGTGGACTACTGTGCTACACGACCAAAATTCAATACTATACGTAAGATATACAAACCCTTAATGAAATACAAAACTAGCTTAGTAACCTTATCTAATCCCCCTATCAAAGTTACACAACCAATTATTCCGTAACTCTAACATATTAGTTTTGATGAATATGAATTTTGCATATTAGTGTATATGCAAAATTAGGTCTAGATTAGATAATATTACAGCTCATCAATAAAATGTCAATATCGTTATGTGCAGACAATATTATGTGCAGTACCTTAGAGATATACTGGGTACCAAAAGTACCTACTCTGACAATTTAACAAAATGGTCCTTGCCAAGTATATAGAAGTAATTACCAAAAAGAAGTGCCAGGAAGGCTATGTAGCACCATCTATGTGGCTGAATATTCAACAAGTTCTATGTATCATTCAAGATGCCGATATGAGAAAAGCAAAGAAGACAAAAATTCCATCACACTGACCTGGGATTTTATTAACCTTTAAAAAAGCTCGTTTTGCTATCTGTGATTACCTCCTGTGCTTGACTTGTCAAATGTGATTTTTTTATATTAGTCTGAGTACTTTCATTTTGTCATGACTGCCAGAATGCAGGACTTTTACACTAGATGAGCTATTGAAGGGTTATGGGATAGCCAACTTATGTTTAGATTTGCGGGTCTGGTTAAAAAGACTCCATCACATGAAATGCATCTCCCCATCTGAGGCACTTTTCAAGACTGTATTGTACTGTATTACGATAAAGTACTGCATTAAACATTTTAAAATATTACGTAATACACCAACTCACAAACTACTTTCCACACACACACACAAATGTGCTTTGTTAATTGATATTAAAATATACATTATGTGAATATGTTCTTGTATATAAACAAGAAGATACTTTCCACACTAGTATGTCGGTATAGCTTGGTCTAGTTGCTACACGAACATGGCACTGGAGGCAGTTTTCGGGCTTAAGAGTAACGGCATCACATGTTTCGTTCAACATGAATATTAGTAAAGAAATATTTAATATTTCTAAAGGCATTGTTTTGTATGTGTACTGCTATGATACTTCGGTCAAGCAGTGTAATATTGCCAAGATCTAAGGAGCTACATTCAGGTTTGTAGGAAATGCCACGCTAAAACATGTGGGATGCATAATCTCTCCTCACACTTAATACACTGCACTGCGCAAAGTGCCTTTAGGCGCTCTGAGAGTTGTGCTTTTTGTTTTTTAATTAGGATATATTTTAATGTTTTTTAATGTTTTCATTACTCTGTGTTTTGAAATGGAAATAGTTGACTTTGGAAACATTTTTACATTAACTTTACCTGAACATTTATAAAAACAACAAAAATATGTCCTTGACAATTGCACCAAGACGTTTTTGCCGAAAATGGGTGAGCAGTGCAGGGGTTAATGCACTGCAATTGTGTTGCCATCAGGCACAGCATTGGAATTCAATCCACAGCAAAATTAACATGACCACGTACTAATGAGCATGGCCCTCGATAGGTTGGGTGGGTTGTCTGGCAACAATTTGTTGCCTTATAAATTTTACACCATCAATTAACAGAGAAATGACTGCATGATTTAGAAATTAACTAATTTCAGAACTCCCCTGAGGAGGCATTAGCACAAATGATATAGCAGTCCCTGTGGCGAAGTGGTAACACACTCACCGGGCGTTTCGCGAACGCTTTGTCCTAGGTTCGTATCCTGGCCGGGGAGGATTTACTGGGCACCAATCCTTGACTGTAGCCTCTGTTCACCCAACAGTAAAATGCGCAGTTGGTTGTTTAGCGATTTGGCGGGTTGTATTCCTGGAAAAATTAGGATTAATGATCTGGGCGAAATGCTATGCGTGCTAGTGGCTGTACAAGAATGCAAGAATTCTTGTATATATAAATAAAATAAAAAAATATAAATATACACATTTTCAAGCCAACTGGCAAAACTAATAAATTCCTCCAGAGTCGAAAGTATGCCCAATAAGTTGCATTGTATGTTAGCCAAAGTAACCCTTAGCACAGACTCTAAGGAACAACATTAAAAGTATGATCAAGCTTAGCACCTTAAACCTAAAGTTTCGAACAAAGAAAGATTCTTGAAATTTCAACGATTTCACGCTTATTTCTGAACAGATAAAAAACAACTTGACCCTTGAGTGACTCAAATTGCTATTTGCAGTTACCTCTGCTTGAATCGGCCAAATGTGATTTTATTAGATAACTTTTGGGAACAACAAATTTTGTCATATGCACCACTTTTAATAAGCTGAACTGTTAAAGGGTTACAGGAAAACATTTCCTCGGGATATCCAGCCAAAAAATAGACTCGAAACATATTAAATCCTTTGTAATCTCTGGGATGGTAAGCTTTGTAGCCACTAAATTTCATACTTGCCAAACATAATCAAAACAACATTACGTGCTCTACACGTAAAGAAAATACTTTCTGAATGATAAGTGACGTATATCTACTCTTTGGTGTCTTTCAGGAAAATCAATAATGTGACTGCTAACAATTAATCATTTGTCAGACCCAATAACAACTCAAATCATTAACAAAATGTGAATATAAATCATAATATCAGATCCAATAATAACCCAGATCATGAACAAAATGTAAACAAAGAATTAATGAGAAAATAGTGAAACCATGTATATAGTAGGCATCCATCAGTCTTGGGAGACTATGGAGTTGCGCTCTGGTTGTCGGTCTGGAGTGGCCTCTCCAGGGCGCAAAGCCAGGGTAGGTTGATTCGGGGGAGAAGCTGTTACCCATGCAGCAGGTCCCCCCTCTCCACGGCGCTGAAAGTCTCCAATGGAAAGGCATACGCCAATACGATTGGTTCCAGCGCCGTCGCAGGAACTGTGAGTTCCGGGGTTGACCTCGAAGTTGGTGAAGAAGGGCACAGGGACCTCCAACCCCGGATAGTATTACCAGATGTAGTAGACTGTAGATGACTGGATGTAGACTGTAGACTAGATTACTGGATGCAATAGAAGTAGTAGATTACTGGATGTACTACTTCTGGATATAGTAGACTCTATAACCTGAGCTGGAATCAAATTACCATGCCAAACACCTCGTACACACCATATATAAAACGCAAAATATTAATTCTTTTTTAGGTTAGGTACGTTACGTTGGGTTGAGTCCAGTCGGGGTTTACTCAAAAAAAACTGATGACTTAGAATGGCGACAATTTTCTCACATCTTTGATTCTAGTCTCTGATTGAGATACTTTTAAGCCCATCGTGGTCCAGTCGGTAATACTGGATGAGTTCAGAGACTCACGTTCAATCCCATCATGCAGTTTCAACATTTTCTAATAGACTCATCACATTCTTGTTATCTCATTGGGTAAAGAATTCATTCTTTATAGAGTTACCATAACAATTACCCAGATCACTAAGGTAAAGGTAATTACCTTAATATACATTAAATTTTACTCCAATCTGACATCATTCATAAAAACGTAATTTGTTAATTTGCTAAATTTGTTGCTTCGAGGTCAACCCCGGAACTCACAGTTCCTGCGACGGCGCTGGAACCAATCGTATTTGGCGTATGCCTTTCCATTGGAGACTTTCAGCGCTGTGGAGAGGGGGGACCTGCTGCCTGGGTAACAGCTTCTCCCCCGAATCAACCTACCTTGGCTTTGCGCCCTGGTGAGGCCACTCCAGACCAGGCAGACGACAGTGCGCAACTCCATAGTCTACTGAGACTGATAGATGCCTACTACTATGCTGATGCTTGGAATCCAGATAACAATAGCACATACCAAAAAAACTAATTAAAACAACAAGCATGACCATTGTTTTAACCATAATATGCCTCCTATACCACCCAGGGAAAAAAAAAAGATGTACTAGAAGTTGATCAATCAACAAAATAATTGAAGACCAGATCACACACTAGAAGGTGAAGGGACGACGGCGTTTCGGTCCGTCCTGGACCATTCTCAAGTCGATTGTGACTTGTCAAGACAATCGACTTGAGAATGGTCCAGGACGGACCGAAACGTCGTCGTCCCTCCACCTTCTAGTGTGTGGTCTGGTCAACATACTTTAGCCACGTTATTGTGACTCATCGCCTGCAAAATAATTGAAAACGGTAGCATTACAAAACATCCCTCTTCCCACCCCTCTCCCCCAAAAAAAGCATACTGTCATATAACTGAAATGTTCTTGCTCATTTTAGAATACATAATTGGACCACAAATACCATACAATATTTATTGGAGAATATATACTCAGTTATTTAGTGGAAATGTCAAGAAAAATTCACAGTGCCGGGGAAAACAAACAAAAAGATACAATTCACCAAGTACAATAGAGAACGCAGAACATATTTGTTCTAGTAGCAAAGCTAACTTTTGGCTGTTTATATATTCAGTATATTTTCAGTATTAAATAGAATATTGAATCAATTCTGTTACTTTGCCTTTACTTCATCACAATTCTCTAAAGTTTTGCAATTACCTTTATCGCCCTCAAATACAGCACAAACCAAAATAAATAGCACTGCAACCCTCACATTAGAGCGGGAAAGGTGCACTCGGAGATTAATATAATTGGGGGTCAGGTTTGACCAAAGTTGCATTTTACTTGGATTACAAAATGTTTCTTTTCTTCTTCTCAATGTTTATATCAATAAACTAATAATACTTTGTTAATGTTTCAGTTCATAGATGCAGTATATATGTTTGCCATTTCTGTATTTTCAAGGCTGATACATTACTGTATTATAAAGAGTTTTGATTTGTTGATTCATAAATTTCACCAAATACAACTTAAGGTATTATTTGAGTTGTATAAAAATTACATTATCATCTCTTATATCTATTAATGAACAGTAATAATTGTGATTTAATCTATACTGCATACTGGTGAAATTTCTTTACAAACTGGTATGTAAATATCTAAATGTGCACATCGTGATCACTAAGTTCTGTCACCAACACATTCCGGTCAATATCTTGGTACATATTGCATCTACAGACTAGATTTTAATGTATTTTTATAGAATGTACGAAAAACTCTCTTATTACTCATAACCTGAGTTTTCGGGAAAGTTATTAATAGTATATTTATATTTCATTTGATCACAAATAACTTGAGTGGGTAAAAATTCAACTATATAAATGTTACTTTTAATCCACTGCTCAGCCTTAAAATTTCAATTCAAATTCTACATCCAATACTTGAAAAACATTCGCAAAATTTGTTTTTTTGTATTACGCACAGATTAGTTACTTGTGTAAAGGAGGAAATGTATATGTTTATCTCTCAGAATGTTCGGTAATACGTTTATTGCTTGTGATGTGTGTCTATGTATGTATTAACACGATGTACTGAATGGGGTGAGAATAGCTTGAGCTACCTCATCCCTTTGTGTGTATTTTACCTCAATACACTTATTTAAATTTAAATTTAAATTTCACAGATTAGTGTTGGATGTGCATCTGAATGGAAATGGGTGTATATCCTACACCCAGAACTGTGGTTGGTATATTTTTTATGGGAATGGGTGTGTATCGTACACCTCGAGATATGTTGCTACAGTATATTTTTTCATGGGAATGGGAGCATATAATAAGCCAAGAAATATGACTGCTATATTCACACGAGTTAATAATCAAAATTAACGAATGTATAACAAAATCTTTTCTCTCAAATCTACAATAATTTTGTGAGTATCAAGTTCTCATAAATTCAACCCAATCAAATCAAGTATTTTATAAAACCCTCATTTACAAGCAAATTTATATTTCATTCATCCAGTAAATTATATATATATAAGGTCTGATATAATTAACTGACTTTCTATTATAACTACCAATTCTATCCACCTATATTCTGAACTGCAGAAGGCATTTGGAATGTTCTTATTTTGTTTACGCAATAGAAACTGACCCGAAACTCCGAGGCATACAAGGTATATGTGGCAGATATCAGCTATCAAGTCACTTGTTTCTTGAGATAGGTTTCAGTGTGAAACTGTTTACATAATTTTATGAAACTTACGAACATCATTACAACTTTCTACGAGCTTCACATGATATTCTTGAGATGCCGAGTTTTGCGTATGAGAATGGAACAGCTAGTAAGGGCACCTTGGGTTCTTTCCATCTCTGTCAATGCTGTTGGTTTTAAGGTCCAGTGAGACAGTTTCTCCTCAAACACCTGGAAATAGCACAACGGTGTGAAGGATAGATGAAGTTGTTTATGTAACAATCTAAGACGAGGTCTGATAAAGACCTTTTGTGCCCTCTGTAATGCTTTTGCGCTACCGCTTACAGGATGAGTATGGGGTGCACAATAAACTAGCCACCTTCGGCGGCAACAATCAAATCAATGCACAAAAAAAAAAAAATTAAAGGAAATCAAGTAGATCTTCATTTGATTATGAAGTTTAGTTTCATGCTTCAATTATAAATACATGACTATATGATTTAATTAACTATATCCTTTAGATCCTTCATATAGTTTATAGAAAAGAATTTATATCCGTTCTGATGAATTAATAATACCAAATAGTGATTTATAACAATAAATAATGCATTTAACACCTCTTATAAATAAAGGATACAACACTTATAAGATTAAAAAAAATCAGAAACTAAAGTATAAAAATACACTGTGAAAGGAAATGAAAGTAACTTCGTTACTGTGCATCCTTGTCAAGTCATCATGACTTGATACGAGTCCAGGATGTACTGAAATATTGTCATAACTTGATAAGGGTTCAGGATGGACCGTAACAAAATTATTTTGATTTAATTTCATGTGTGGGTTAGGATTATTTCTTTCAGTGACATTACTGTGACATTCTCTGCAATACACTGTGTGCAGATAACATCTATCTGCATAGCTCTTACAACCGTAAAAAAAGTCACCCATCAATAAAAGGCACTACATTATAATTCAAAATCTAACCATCGAGCTCAGTTCTCTCCTGTGATTTACTGTATTTGCCGCCGTAAAAGACGCACCCTTGCATAGGATGCACCTATATTTGACAAGGATATTTTGTGGAAAAAAAAACTATTTTAGTATGTTTCATCATACATTTATTGAATGATATTTTAAAGTGCTTTTTGTACCCCAATTCTTACCTCCTCTAAGATTAGCTGTGGTGGGTGTAGTTGTTTATATTTTGGGCAAGAGGATGTGTTATACACGATATGAAACTTATATTTCTGGATGTAATGTTTAGTGTTGCTGCACCAGGCACCATGGCAGCGTACCTGGCGGTGGCACATTATCACAGCGCTCTGATGTTGTCATTCACTCATTGCAAATGGCTGACAAGCAGATGAAAGTCTAACATTCAAATTTCAAGCAGCATTTTTCATTTAGAAAATGAACAAATGTTTCTTAAAATGTAACACAGTCGTTAAATAATGTATGACGTATCAAGCGTGGGTTATGTATGCTGGGTATGGTGGTGAGATGTTGTGAGCTTCCTTCATAACTGCCGACGTTTCTTAAGTTTGTGATAACTTGGCTTGTTGTCAATATTTTATTATTAGTAACACAATATACCGTAATAATTTGGCCTGTTTTCAATATTTTATTATAAGCAACGATTTTTTGTACCTGGCGAACTCAGCCCAGTATGCTCGCCCGGCTCCCAAGCCTATGGTGCTCGGTCTCACATCCGTAATACAGCCGCATTAGACGCAGGGCAATTTTCTGATACATTTAAAATCAAAATAAACACGTCTTATACGCCGGCAAATACTGTACTTACCCCTTACCTGATCTTAAATTATTTCAAAATCTAAATAAATATATATGAAACAAAAATGAGTACTGTATTACCTTCGCTGATGCTGGATATTCGTCTCCTGTGCGGTGCATTAGATAACCGTTTGCAAATACAACATTTGCTGCTGCATCGTCAGGCACAGTCAATGTTTGGTAACGGAAAGTTGCTTCACGCTCAATCCGCTGAAAAACACGTTAACATTATTTAATACACTTCAGTAATGACAAATTATAGTCTTATATAAAGGGATAATACAATTTTAATTGATTTTAAGTGTTTACTACCTAAAAAAATATATTCTTGGTAATATATAAAAGAAGCCCTATGATAAAAGTAGTCTGGTGTGTCTCACTAATTGGAATGCTCAGATTTCTTTATTTTACATGATGTGTCTTAATTTTACAATTCTCTGGAGTAATCACCCCCAAAGTCTAGATTTACCTTCAAAATGTCCTTGGCTTCAGGAGAGCTCCCAACACACATGACATCTGGTCCAGCCATGGTTACAGCTGCCTTCAAATGGAGGGATTTATCCACCTATAAGAAAGAAGATCTGGAGAACAAAACTTAGCATTACCCTTACAATTGCAGGCGATGAGTCACAATAACGTGGCTGAAGTATGTTGACCAATCCACACACTAGAAAATGAAGGGACGACGATGTTTCGGTCTGTCCTGGACCATTCTCAAGTTGATTGAGAATGGTCCAGGATGGACCGAAATGTTGTCGTCGCTTCATTTTCTAGTGTGTGGATTGGTCAACACCCTTACTAAGTATTCTTGACCATCATCTACTGATTTGTATAAAACCTTTTCTGAGCATTGTGTATACGATATAGTGTTGCTCAGATTCAAATACATTCATTCCCTCCTTACAAAACAATTTCAGTGTGTGCTTTCTATATCTCTGTGTTCTTCACATTCGTTTCCTCCTACCCTCAAATTCTCGAGTAGGTGCTTTTCACTAGTTTATCCCTTTATGATCCATCCTCCATTTATTCAGCATACCAAACCTTCTCAGGTTTGGTTTCCTTAAGTGGCGTGGAAAAGCTATACAAGTCTCAACTTAACCTTCATCACATTTTCATTCCCAACTCTGTTCGCCTTACACAATTAATTCTCAGATCATTATGTCCCTCCTAGAAATCCAATGTTGGACAAAATATAATAATCCATTTTTATTCCCAGTTGGCTCCCAATCCCTGATCTGTTGCCACATTACACACGAGTTTTTGAGGCTTTGCAAAGGCAGTTCCGATAGCAGGTACAACACGAGGGGCTGGGACCCCTGGTGGGAGTCAGGTGCATCACACTCAGGGTATTTGCCTGAAACACTGTGTGTATTAGTGGCTTTATGGCATAGCATATACTAGCTCTATCTAGAAATTCAACATTCTGCTTGTAACTCAATATGTATGTAGGGCGCAAGCTCCAGCTTGATTGGTTCGCAATGATAATCCAACAAAGAAAGCATCTTTAAAAGACCTAAATAAAAAAAATAAAAAAATTATTTTATTTATTTGCCCAGATGCAACTTTAGTTTGCCTTGTTTAAATAAGATTACCTAAATTCCTTCACACAGTTGTTTTGTTGTGCCCTATACTTTCTTATTTATTTATTTATTTATTTATTTATTTATTTATTTATATACAAGAAGGTACATTGGGTTTGTGAGAATACATAGCATAGTATTAACAATTTTGTAAAGCTACTAGTACGTGCAGCGTTTTGGGCAGGCTCAGCCTGTGCAAGCCTCCTCACACTCGGTAAACCGAGAATGAATGGTCATCAAAGTTCTAGGTCAGGGACCTAGAACTGCTGACTTCTGGTGGGACTTCTCCAGTTATGTTTGACCTCAGATCCCATGCTCCTCTTATCGAGTGAGCGTAATTCTGGTCCTGGCTTCCTTTATGTGACTACACTTTCGCAAAACAAATGTGGCATGATAGCTGTAACAGGAACACTTCTACACTCGGAAATTAAGGATAGCGGACACCCAAAGAGGGTGTTCGTAGAAAATTAACAGGAATGACATTATACTGCATTACTGTACTATTGTATCAGGGGTTAAGAGTGTGACTGATGGGTAAATAATGACCGGAATGGAATGGAATGTTGATAAACACAAAGAGGAGCATAAGAAGAACATGACAGTCTTGCGGGTGTTCAATCATCCTGTAGCAATGTTCCCAAGAAGCTGAAGGCATCATAGACTATATGCAGACATGTAAGACAAAATATAATAAGTGTGATTGACATTCTAAACCAAATTATTATACTGTATTTAGCTTAAGGGGAAGAAACCAAACCATATGTAAACATTGATTTCAAGTTGACCAGATCACACACTAGAAGTTGAAGGGACGACGACGTTTCTGTCCGTCCTGGACCATTCTCAAATCGACTTGAGAATGGTCCAGGACGGACCGAAACGTCGTCGTCCCTTCAACTTCTAGTGTGTGGTCTGGTCAACATACTTCAGCCATGTTATTGTGACTCATCGCCTGCACATTGATTTCAAGTCATATTTTGCATGCCATAAGATGTTAGTACAGTATAAGAATGATAAAGATGCTTAAAAGTACAATGCTTTGATACTGTCTTCAATATACTGTAGCTCTATCAAAGACTCACCTTAACTGGCGTGCAGGGAAACTCGGGAAAGGCGGAGGCTAGGGCGCAAGCTCCAGCTTGATTGGTTCGCGATGATAATCCAACAAAGAATTCTTTACCTGAAACAAGATTCTTTCAGCTAATTATACCCCCTAAACTGACCTCAGACCTATTCTACATGTGCACACACGTTCATGCTGTCCAGGAAAATAACTGTTTATCGGTATATTGTGAACAAAGCAAGAATGGGAGGAAGGGAAATTGGAAGGGATGGAGAAAGGGAAAGAGGGAAACAGAAGGAGGGAGAGAGACATGAACAGAAATGAACAGGAGGGAGAAAGATATACGGACAGGAGAAGGGGCAGAGATACGAACAGAAGGAGGGAGAGAGATATGAATAGAAGGAGGGAGAGAGATATACAGACAAGAGAAGGGGGAGAGCTCCGAACAGGAAGGAGAGAGATACAATCAGGAGGGAAGAGAGATATGAACAAAAAGAGAGAGAGAGAGATACGAACAGAGGGAGGGAAAGAGAGATATGAACAGAGGGAGGGGGAGAGAGAGATATGGATAAGATCGAGGCATACTGCTGGGTCCCCCCCCACTCTACTTTTCAATTACAAAATGAACCCCCCAAAAATGTACAGTACTTTTTTTTCTACCGTTTCTAACACATTTGCAACAACACTCTCTTTAGCCGTTACAATGCAGGCTTCACAGATAGCCATGGCTTTCACCAGTGGTATACCCAAGTGTACTGTTTCTACAGCAGCTGACTTATCTATATTTCTCTCTAAGGATTCAATAGTGCCACTACAACTGTAAGAATGGTATCTCTAGGTGTGCCACCAGTGGCACTTGACAGCTCTAATATTTTATTCCCTGCATCCAACGTTATTTTTAAATAAAAAAAATTACCTTTGGTTTTATCAGCGAGAATCGAAAGAATAGGTGATTTTACTATAACAATTTATAAAAAACAAATAAAACAATAACTATGGGTTCATAATGAGTGCTGCAGCATTAGGGTGAGGAACTTTTCATATTAATACACTTTATTCAGCGAAAGCTTCACGCTTCCTTCGAGGCCTTATGACATTAAAGTTATTATGACCAAACCACACACCAGAGGATGAAGAGACAATGACATTTCGGTCCGTCCAGGACCATTATCGACCGGTCCCGGTCGATTGTGTGTACCACAATCGGTTGATAATGGTCCAGGACAGACCAAAAATGTCGTCACCTCTTCATCCTCTGGTGTGTGGTTTAGGTCATCATATCTTCAGCCCCGTTATTGTAACTCGTCTGCAATAAAGTATCCATCCCCCCCCCCAAAAAAAAAAATATATATATACCTATACGTACATAGTTTTCTCTTGGGAGAAATGTACAGTATTGTACACAGTACTAATAATAATACAAAATAACCAAGCCATGTTTCATATATCTATCAGGCTATTATTTCACTTCGGGGAAACTAAATTAAACAATTTTGGTCTAAAAAACCTAAAATGAAATAACATTACCAATACAAGACATTACGCAACATATTATAATTAGTTAATTACTTGCCTCACCTGTGAAAAGAACATCGCCTCCATCTAGTGTAGCTGTCTCGTCCGATATTTCAATCACAGGAAGTTCAAGTTCATTCTTTAGTATGGCTCTCATGTACTCCACCTAGTCAGAAATAAATTAGAAACTAAATATGGTTCATCAGAATTTAAATGTGGTTCATTAGAACCTAAATGTGGTTCAACAGAACCTAAATGTGGTTCATTAGAACCTAAAAGTTGTTCATTAGAACCTAAATGTGGTTTATTAGAACCTAAATGTGGTTTATTAGAACCTAAATGTGGTTTATTAGAACCTAAATGTGGTTTATTAGAACCTAAATGTGGTTTATTAGAACCTAAATGTGGTTCATTAGAACCTAAATATGGTTCATTAGAACGTAAATGTGGTTCATTAGAACCTAAATGTGGTTCATTAGAACCTAAATGTGGTTCAACAGAACCTAAATGTGGTTCATTAGAACCTAAAAGTTGTTCATTAGAGTCTAAATGTGGTTCAACAGAACCTAAATGTAGTTCAACAGAACCTAAATGTTGTTCATTAGAACCCAAATATGGTTCATTAGACCCTAAATATGTGTAATATAATAATTTAGTGTCCCCGCTAAATATAAATATAATAATTAGTGTCGGCCCGGTCCTCGACCAGGCCTCCACCCCCAGGTAGCAGCCCGTGACAGCTGGCTATCACCCAGGTACCTATTTTACTGCTAGGTAACAGGTGCTAGTGCACATTTAGCATACAATATACACAGTAGAGCACTGTACAGTACCTCTTTTTCTCTGGAGGGATGACCGGGTTTGGTCACCAACGCAGTTCCATTGCAGACAACTGCTACGTCTTCAACAAACACGCAGTCTGGGTGGCTTTCATCAGCCGGCAGCTCAATAACATCCAAACCAATTTCTCGCAAAGTTGCCACGTACACTTCGTGTTGTTTCCTGGCCTAAAATATTGAACTACATTAGCAAGTGATAGTAGGTGAAGTAGGACTACTACAAATGCATCTTATTTAGTGCACATAATGACACAATTCAAAAGTAGGGGCTTCACAAAGCATGCAGGTAAGAGAAAGATGTACAAATCTAGTGATTTCTCACAAAAAGCAATCTGAAAAGTCATTAAAAGGTTAAGTGAAGTTTTTAATTTTTGTATAATTACCTTCTAAATTGAATACATTAATTTAATTTTTCACAATTTGCATTTTGCAGTACATTATACATTTAATAATAAATATACATTATACAGTATGCATACAGTATATATCTAATAACATGCAGCCTTATTTGAGAGCAGTTAACTTCAATGTGGCCTTCAAACATGGGAAGATTTCCCCACCTGTCAATAAAAAAGAGGCTTCATGATGTGCCATGGATAACGAATCACATCTTACATCATCAAGCAGGATTTCCACTACAGAGGATCAAACCTATGGAGCAGTCAGCCTGCTGCTGAAGCAACAGCAGCTCAGCTTTAAAACCGACTTGCAAAATTCATCACAGAAAACGGGGGGGAAAACCGCCCTTCATGCCACAACTTGTAAAACGGCTGCAAGTTGTCTCTTGCTTAACTTACCTCTTATTATTATATGATATTTCCTGTTATAAAGCAGCAAAATGAGTCCTTATTTTCTTATGTTTGCCGCCTTCTAGGCATGGTGCTTCCATATCTCTTATCTTGAGATGATTTCGGGGCTTTAGTGTCCCCGCGGCCCGGTCCTCGACCAGGCCTCCACCCCCAGGAAGCAGCCCATGACAGCTGACTAACACCCAGGTACCTATTTTACTGCTAGGTAACAGGGCCATAGGGTGAAAGAAACTCTGCCCATTGTTTCTCGCCAGCGCCCGGGATTGAACCCGGGACCACAGGATCACAAGTCCAGTATGCATCAAGATGACACCTTTCCTTTTGTGGTTGTGGGGACGTTGATCCTTGGAATCACCATGAGATAAGGTATGCCAGTGCATGAACTCTAGGCTACAGATGGAATATTTACGTTGCCAAGAACAGGGCCAGGGGGGCTTTTTTTTTTATATATATATTTTGTTAAAATGGGTGCATTATTTTGAAGTCACAATAAGAAAGTGGCATCACACAATCATGATTGTACAGGTGAAATTTTGGAGGAAAGTAAAAAGAGTTTTGGGCTAGTGGTGGGAGGTACACTCTTCTTGAGATTATCTTGAGATGATTTCGGGGCTTTAGTGTCCCCGCGGACCGGTCCTCGACCAGGCCTCCACCCCCAGGAAGCAGCCCGTGACAGCTGACTAACTCCCAGGTACCTATTTACTGCTAGGTAACAGGGGCATTCAGGGTGAAAGAAACTTTGCCCATTTGTTTCTGCCGCGTGCGGGAATCGAACCCGAGCCACAGAATTACGAGTCCTGCGCGCTATCCACCAGGCTACGAGGCCCCTTCATTCTTTAAGTCATTTTTCATATTGTTTGGTGACTTTTGTCCAGCCACTAATATTCAATGACTCTTTCCTTGGGAACCATTAACAACTGAAGTTTGATATAAATACACAAGGTAGTATGGTGTATTTGACATGCATCATGGCCTTTTTCTAATTAATTTAAAAATACAGTACAGTACTTGATTTTTGGGTGATTTTTGAATCAGTGACTGGATACATCATTTATAACCCATAATACATCTTCCTAGGTGTCAACCTATGCCATCCTTCAGTTTAAAGACTGTACATTTGCATCACACAACAAAAGTTTTACAAAGACTTAGAAATACCGGTACTGTATCTTATACGAAGCCTGGTTATAGGGTCAACGTTAATTCAGTCTTGAAACAATAAGAATGAGAAACAATATGTAAGTATTTAAGATCAATACAGGGCATGATGATCTTGACCCTGAAATTTGTTTTCACTACCATTCAAAACAAACCCTTTTAAAATTCAAGGCAAACATTTTTACTCAAATGCAGAAAAATATACTTTCTTTTATCACATGGTAAAATTCAATATAAAATGGTGTATCAATTTAAAAATGGAATTGAAAGTACTTCTCCAATACACACCTTACACAGCCTCCATAAACAGCGTAGTTTGGGTCTAATGATTGTTTGGTGATTGAGTTAATATATATATAGTAATTCTTTACTAACAGTGGTGCAATGTTATTTTACAAAACTTCCAGTTAGCTTGTTTCACCTGCCACAATTTTCTAGGTGAACCAATTGGATAGGATAAGGATACACCAGGCAATAATTGGTTAGTTTAATGTACGAGTTATAATTGTCAGGATAATGAAAGAAACTTCAGCAAGCCGCCAGCTTTCTGTCCCGACCGAGGCCGCTGGTGATGGTGGCCTCGGATGAGTAAGTGGTGTATGATGTGTCACTAAAAATCTGTTCATAAATAAGGAATGCAATACAGTACAGATATTCTGTAGGTAGAGATATCCTGTAGTACAGATATCCTGTAGATATCTGTAGCTATGTCTGCTGATATATCTATAATATCTGAGCTATCCTGCAAGGTAAGTTAATTATCAGGTTAGACCACCAAGTCAGTACAATATGACTATTCTGTGGAGCACTTGCAAGTGATATATGGGAAAAAAAACTTAGCAGATTTGGAGAACGTTCCCGAACCACTTTATCAAGCAATCAAATGTAATGGATATATGCTATTTTGTACATAAAATGGGTCACTAAAAAAGGGTTTTTATTGTATTAAAACTTACTATTACTGGTATTATTATTATAAACTCAACCTAACAATATATATACTTTTATTAATTTATATATACAAATGTATATATATTTATATATACATTTATTAATTGTTTTAACAATTAATAAATGTGCTATGGAGGAAATGTTTGTAAATAGGTTGTCTGAAGCCTAAATTAAGCAATATGCTGTATGTATAAAAAGAATGCTCTTCATTATTCGCAACCACTTGGGCTGGATGGTAGAGTGACAGTCTCGCTTCATGCAGGTCGGCGTTCAATCCCCGACCGTCCAAGTGGTTGGGCACCATTCCTTTCCCACCGTCCCATCCCAAATCCTTATCCTGACCCCTACCAAGTGCTATATAGTCGTAATGGCTTGGCGCTTTCTCCTTGATTTAATAATAATAATTCATTATTCGCACTAGCCACATTTGTAATAATAACAGTATTTCCGGCAAACCTCACAGTATTCAAAACCTCGACACAATTGCAGAATACTCACTGGTAGAGTCTATACCGTATGTGCACCTCAGACATAGTTCGGTCTTGAATTGTTAGAACATAAGTTAGGTTGCAATATTTGATGCCAAAACATCTTGTGAGCAAATTGACCTGTATATCCTATTCACACACATTCTGATAACTAATTAGGTACAAAAAGGGCTTCGCATCTAGTCATAGTACGACCAGATACGTCAGCGATATGTTATCGCTACTCTGAACATAACAAAAATAAAAGAAATCGGTGTTTTTATACATGCTCGGTGACACTGACGTATTATAGAGCATTAGAGGATGGATCTTTTTAACACTACTGCTGTTAATGGGGAATACTCACCTTGGTGTAGTCAAATGATACACAGGCAATTTTCAGTTTAAAAATCTATTAGTGAATTGTCGAGAGTACGATGTAACCTGTATCCTCTTGGTACAGTCAAATCGTATATAAGCATTTTGACGAAGCTCATATTCTTTTTTGGGTGAAAGTAGACCGAGTTAGTTACACAGGGTTTAAGTTGGGTATATTGAAAACCCATTGTCAAGCAACATGCTGCTTTAGAACACATTTCTAACTATGTCCATGGAAGCCAGAATAACATACAAATATGCAAGTTTGGAGGCGATGAGTCACAATAACGTGGCTGAAGAATGTTGACCAGACCACACACTTGAAGGTGAAGGGACGACGACGTTTCGGTCTGTCCTGGACCATTCTCAAGTCGATTGTCTAGATCAATATGCTAGTTTGTCGATTGTCTAGATCAATATGCTAGCCTGTCGATTGTCTAGATCAATATGCTAGCCTGTCAATTGTCTAGATCAATATGCTAGCCTGTCGATTGTCTAGATCAATATGATAGTTTGCATTGTATTAATGTACGACCACACGTCTCACCTTGGCCAGGTCAATCGGGGAAGACGCACACACAGATTTGTCCTTGAAGGAGTCCGGGATCCTGCAAACAACGGCGTGAGTGTAGCGGAACGGCGACATGTTGAGCCCAGGGGTGTAGGAGCCTGGGGTGTAGGAACCTGGGGTGTAGGAGGCTGAGGTGTAGGAGGCTGAGGTGTAGCAGCCTGGGGTGTAGGAGCCTGGGGTGTAGGAATCTGGGGTGATAGAGGCTGAGGTGTAGGAGGCTAGGGTGTAGGAGGCTAAAGGTGTAGGGGCGAGGTGTAGGAGCTTAAGGTGTAGGAGCCTGAGGCGCAGGAGGCCGAGGTGTAGGAACCTGGGGTTCAGGAGCTAGATGCAGGAGCCTAGGGTGTCGGAGGCCGAGGTGTAGGAGCCTGGGGTGTCGGAGCGAGGTGTAGGGAGCGTAGGAGCAACACCCAGTATCACCCGTCTGAAGGAGCCCAGCTGCCCACACTCGCAGTGTTGCACCACCCACTCGCCGCACATCTCACACCTTCCAACCAAATTCCACACTAATCCTACACCAAATTCCACCATTAACACAACTAACTAAACCCCTCTTCTTATTTCACACACATTCAATACCAAAATTTATAATATAAACCAATAATAATGAAATTAAAAGGACATTTCAGAGGTAAAGGTTACCACGCGGGTTTGGCAACGGTGCCGGGAGCCCTCAGGCGCCACCTGGTTTGTTTACGTTACCAGAGACAGTGAAAAAAAAACAAAAAATTCCTCAAATTCAAAATTTTCACCTGGATGCAGACGCCTCCTATAGGCCTACATTTGTATGCCTATATCGGCTGATATAGGCTTTACAGGAAGCTGGTATATATATATATATATATATATATATATATATATATATATATATATATATATATATATATATATATATATATATATATATATATATTAGCACATACAGTGGCCATTTACTCTCAAATAATTATTAAACCAACGGATGTCATTATTTTGTATTTTTTTTAGTAAAGTTATTATTATCAATAATAATAATATTATTATTATAAGGCGGTGGATATATACCTCCAGGTATATGTATATATAGATTTTAATAAGTGCATATGTCGATCCACATATGCAGATTTGCATTCCAGAGGCATCCTGTGTATATACGTTAGGCTTATATCCCCCCCCCTTTCCCAAGGAGACCCTCCCCAAGATACAACCCACAACAGTTCTCTAGCTCACGGGTCTACCCATGTACTGAACAGGTGCATCAGAGGAAAGGAAACGGGCCCATTTATTTATTTCCCGCCTGGGATTCGAACCCGGGATTGAGAACGAACACATCGACTCCACTACCCAAGGACCACAGGATCACAAGTCCAGCGTGCTGTCCGCTCGGCCGACCGGCTCCCGAGGGTGCATGGAAAATTGATTGATTACAAAAGTATAGCATTTAAACGGAAATGTGTTTACTAGAGGCTGTAGAGTTCTTCCAATCGAGGACGCAGCGAGCGTTCCTCCTCTGGATCGCTACGCTAAGGCGCTGGAAAAGGAAATTCGCTGCTCTAGGGGTCTTTGACTGTTTCATTGAGCTTGTAATTCAGATCTTTGTGTGTGTGTGTGTGTGTGTGTGTGATTACCTAAGTGTAGTTACAGGATGAGAGCTACGCTCGTGGTGTCCCGTCTTCCCAGCACTCTTTGTCATATAACGCTTTGAAACTAGGTGTGTGTGTGTGTGTGTGTGTGTGTGTGTGTGTGTGTGTGTGTGTGTGTGTGTGTGTGTGTGTGTGTGTATGTGTGTGTGTGTGTGTATGCGTGCGCGCGCATTAAATCGCGAAGAAATTAACACGAGATGAGTAATGTGAACAAAAACACAAAATTAAAATAGACTTTCTTAACACTTGCTTATGCACTTTTGTATCATTTTCCCTAACCATAAAATTCCAGTACAGAGATAGGATAAATATATTGGCAGAAAAATGAAGATTACAAGTGATATGAAAACAGACTTTCATATTAACAATGATTCCTAAAACTACAGAAGGCCTATTGGCCCATTCATGGGACTTCTCAAAAGTAATGTCCCCAAGGAGATAGTGTTCTAAACCACCCAGTGGGTTTTCTTCCTATTGGGGAGTGTTGTACATGCTGCTATGGCGGTGTGTCCACTCACAGGATGAGTGACGCTGCCCAATACTGTCACTATGGCGGTGTGTCCACTCACAGGATGAGTGGCGCTGCCCAATACTGTCACTATGGTGGTGTGTCCACTCACAGGATGAGTGGCGCTGCCCAATACTGTCACTATGGCGGTGTGTCCACTCACAGGATGAGTGGCGCTGCCCAATACTGTCACTATGACGGTATGACCACTCACAGGATGAGTGGCGTTGCCCAATACTGTCACTATGGCGGTATGTCCACTCACAGGATGAGTGGCGCTGCCCAATACTGTCACTATGACGGTATGACCACTCACAGGATGAGTGGCGTTGCCCAATACTGTCACTATGGCGGTGTGTCCACTCACAGGATGAGTGACGCTGCCCAATACTGTCACTATGGTGGTGTCTCCACTCACAGGATGAGTGGCGCTGCCCAATACTGTCACTATGGCGGTGTGTCCACTCACAGGATGAGTGGCGCTGCCCAATACTGTCACTATGACGGTATGACCACTCACAGGATGAGTGGCGTTGCCCAATACTGTCACTATGGCGGTATGTCCACTCACAGGATGAGTGGCGCTGCCCAATACTGTCACTATGGCGGTGTGTCCACTCACAGGATGAGTGACGCTGCCCAATACTGTCACTATGACGGTATGACCACTCACAGGATGAGTGGCGTTGCCCAATAAACTCGCCCCTCGGGGCGAAATTTAAATTTAACCCCATTTGGACCATCAGGGATCGAACGCGGTTGGTATGGCTCGGCCAAGCTATAACCAGGCTGGCATATGGCTCAGCCAAGCTATAGCCAGGCTGGCAGGGCTCGGCCAAGCTGGCCAGGCTGGCAAGGGGTATTTGATGGCGGCCGAGACGACAGGATGTCGGTGATCAGTTGGTGTCAGCGCGGCCGGCCAGACACCCGTCCACTTACACAACATCTGGCTCGACATTCAGGTTAAGGGATCATATGTATAAATAACTAATACTTATATATTTAGGAAGCAGTCGTTCTTGTAGACACTGAATATGGCTGAGAGAGTTAGAGGATGATTTATTCGCGAATTTCACTGGTGAAGGAAACTGAAAAATGAGCCAAATTTCCAGGTCGGCGTTCAATCTCCCGACCGTCCAAGTGGTTGGGCATCATTCTTTCCCCCAACCCGCCCCCGTCCCATCCCAAGTCCTTATCCCAAGTCCCAAGTCCTTATGGTTGTACTTGCCTAAGAATAAGCTGGCTGTTGAAAGTTGGATGATGTGTGTTTGATCTGTAGTGCTTCAGCTATGTCTGATCTTCTGTTATAATCGTATGTATCAATTATGTCGTTATGGTTGCTCAGAATATTGCTAGTGGTGTCTGGAGGTGTGTGTAGGAAACATGATGTGATAGGAGCCTTGCTCTTCGTGTCTATTCAGGCGCCTTGAAAGGGATATGTTGTCTTGTCTGTATATATATAGAACGCTGGAGCTGATAGTCCCCTTAACGGGAGACATCTCCCGTCACGCAGGGTGCAGTCGCACCTCCACAGGTCTCCAGTATCAGCTCTTGATACTGGTAATGGCTCAAAAGGGCCACCACTCACGGGCTATTCATGCCCGTGCCACCTTTTGGGTGGCTTAATCTTCATCAATCAATCTTGACAGTCCCCAAGTGGACTTGTAAAGGTACGGACGTCATTCACTTCTTTCAAGAGGATCCATTTGATGTTAGGGAAGCTCTTCAGGAGCAAGATCTTTTCTTACTCTTGTATAAGTAAGAGTTAAGAGTTAAGATAAGTAAGAGTTGCCCTTGTCTCAGTGTTGTAGGGGGCTACGTTTCTATCAATTATATCTTCTAATAATTAAGACGAAAAGTGCTCATTAAAAATAATAAAAAAACAAACTTCTGCGACACCAAACAAATAAAAGGAAATATAATGAAATACAAAAACAAATTCTGAGGATTCCAAATGGCCAATTGAATAATAATGAAGTTGAAATGTATACAGCGAAGAGTTTGGAGACTTTTGGCGAATTGAGAGGCTGAAGAATTAAACATTTCTTTCAACACGACTTGAGGGGGCGAACCAGGCGGCCATGTTTACCTGATCAGCTGAGAGCGAGAACACGAGACAGAATTCCCTTAATAATTCCATGGATGCTGCAGCGGGCATCCTTTCTGGCGCGATCCAATCACGGCCTCTTTAGCGTGTCATCCAAAGTCCTGTTTAAAGTGCTATATGTGTGCTTAGCGGACATTCACATATCCTCACATGGATGAGGAACCGTTTAACGGAAGTAAACAAAGCCGCCATGATTGAGAAAAGATGTCCAGACCGATGTCGTAAGTGGCTGCCTTTAGCATGCTATCCAAAGTCCTGTTTATAGTGCTATATATGTGCTTAGCGGACATTCACATATCCTCACATGGATGAGGAACCGTTTAACGGAAGTAAACAAAGCCGCCATGATTGAGAAAAGATGTCCAGACCGATGTCGTAAGTGGCTACGTAAGTGATGGATGCTGGAAACGCCAATCGACGCGAAAACTGTTCATGTCAATAAACATATCCAGGGAGGAACTGGAGGCGGATCCGAGCGTCCTTATGTGTATTCCGGTGGTCTGTCGGAGGTCGTGAGGCAGCATACATCAGTCATTTGTTTCAATATTCAATTATGGCGACGTCGCCGCCAGGTGGACGCTGACATATATCGAGACTATAGATAAATAAAAGCAGGTCTCAGATAGCAAGGGCTTTCACCCCTCGAGATAAAATAATAGAAAGTTTAGAGATAAAAGCTACCACTATCTTTGCACAACAAGGGTTAAGATACAAAAGTATAGTTAAATATGTTAAATACGGTTTAAATTGGAGACTTTCGGGGTCGTGGAGAAGAAAGGACCTGCTGCATGGGTGACAGCTTCTTCCTCCCCTCCCCCACTGTATCTACCTACCCTGGCTTTGAGGGAATGCAGGCCACAACAGTCACCTGACTCCCGGGTACCATGATGAGCAGAGAGTTCAGGCGTGGTGAAACGGGTCGAAATATCTCTTCCTGGCCGGGAATCGATCTCGGGTTCAACAAAGTCGTGAGCTGGCTACGTCGCTAACCGCTGCGCTGCGCATGCAAGTTGTGCGCATGCTTGGATGGGCAGCTGTGGTTGTTTTGGGCCGTCAATGGCAGGAGGGACATGGCGCAGTGCGCACTTCCTTCCTTGTCGCTGCCCGGGACGGTTTGTCATTCCTGTAGCTACCTCCGGTCGATCAGGGTCCGCTCTCGCTCGACCAGGGTCCGTCCTTGCTCGACCAAGACCCGTCCACGACTCGACATGGAGGGAAGCCGGTTCGACCTCCTCCTCCTCCTCCCCATCCTCCTGGTAGCGGCCGCGACTACAGGCCTAAAACATCCTGGTAACTATGACGAATAACCTATAGTTGCAACAGTCGGCTCGCAACCGATTGCTCCCGGGTTCGGTTCCCGGCGTGGGCGAGACGTTGGAGTGTGTTTCCCTGCCCCTGTATCATCCTGAATCCCCTGTATCATCCGTGACCTCTCCCTCTGTTGAAGCATCATCCAATATCTCTCCCTTCTCTGTTGTATCATCCGTGTCCACCCCCACCACCCCATCCTCTGGGGTGCCCAGTTAAGGAGTTCTACGGGAGGAAGTAGACCCTACATAGACCCATACACCCCTGCATGCTTCTTGCTTTTGGAGAGGGGGTTCAGCGTCACATATTTAGGGGATGCGGTTCCAACACAAACCTCGTTGCCATGTGCCCCCCACTTGAGCCGCCGTGACTCCCCACTCGCTCCGTTGTTGGTATAATGTCTACACTGTACCGTACACTAGATGGCGTATGATGGCAGCCATCATCCCTGTAACCATCTGCTCCTAGACAGCCTGTACGTGGGTGTGGATATCTTTAGACAGCCTGTACGTGGGCGTGGATATCTTAAGCAGCCTAACTCAGTAAGACATTCTGGGAAATTTGATTTAGAATGGCAATTGACACATTTGACAATGTTGATCAGGCAAAAAATACCCACAAAGGAATTCCTTTAAACAGCAATATAACTCACCCCCTTCCCCCTGGAGAGTGGGGGACTTGCTGCATGGGTAACAGCTTCTCTCCCAAATCAACCTACCCTGGCTTTGCGCCCTGGAGAGGCCACTCCAGACCGACAACCAAAGCGCAACTCCATAGTCTCCTGAGACTGATGGAGGTCTACTCCTACCCCCTCCCCCCCCTCCCAAGCTAAAAAAAAATAAGAAACTGTCAATTCACGAAAAATCAGTTGTCATACTTCTCTCCGGTTGATTTGGTGGATGATGCCGCTGAAGGATCATCCGAGATCTCTCCTTCTTCTGTTGTATCATCCGTGACCTCTCCCTCTGTTGAAACATCATCCGAGATCTCTCCTTCCTCTGAGGTATCATCCGTGACCTCTCCCTCTGTTGAAACATCATCCGAGATCTCTCCTTCCTCTGAGGTATCATCCGTGACCTCTCCTTCTGTTGAAACATCATCCGAGATTTCTCCTTCCTCTGTTGTATCATCCGTGACCTCTCCCTCTGTTAAAGCATCATCCAATATCTCTCCCTCCTCTGTTGTATCATCCGTGACCTCTCCCTCTGTTGAAGCATCATCCAATATCTCTCCCTCCTCTGAGGTATCATCCGTGACCTCTCCCTCTGTTGAAACATCATCCGAGATCTCTCCTTCCTCTGAGGTATCATCCGTGACCTCTCCTTCTGTTGAAACATCATCCACGATCTCTCCCTCCTCTGTTGTATCATCCGTGACCTCTCCCTCTGTTAAAGCATCATCCAATATCTCTCCCTCCTCTGTTGTATCATCCGTGACCTCTCCCTCTGTTGAAATATCGTCCACGATCTCTCCCTCCTCTGTTGAATCATCCGTGACCTCTCCCTCTGTTGAAATATCATCCACGATCTCTCCCTCCTCTGTTGTATCATCCGTAACCTCTCCCTCTGTTGGAGCATCATCCAATATCTCTCCTTCCTCTGTTGTATCATCCGTGACCTCTCCCTCTGTTGAAATATCATCCACGATCTCTCCCTCCTCTGTTGTATCATCCGTGACCTCTCCTTCTGTTGAAATATCATCCACGATCTCTCCCTCCTCTGTTGTATCATCCGTAACCTCTCCCTCTGTTGGAGCATCATCCAATATCTCTCCTTCCTCTGTTGTATCATCCGTGACCTCTCCCTCTGTTGAAATATCATCCACGATCTCTCCCTCCTCTGTTGTATCATCCGTAACCTCTCCCTCTGTTGGAGCATCATCCAATATCTCTCCTTCCTCTGTTGTATCATCCGTGACCTCTCCCTCTGTTGAAATATCATTCACGATCTCTCCCTCCTCTGTTGTATCATTCGTGACGTCTCCCTCTGTTGTATCATTCGTGATGTCTCCCTCTGTTGGAGCATCATCCAATATCTCTCCCTCCTCTGTTGTATCATCCGTGACCTCTCCCTCTGTTGAAATATCATTCACGATCTCTCCCTCCTCTGTTGTATCATCCTTGACCTCTCCTTCTGTTGAAATATCATCCACGATCTCTCCCTCCTCTGTTGTATCATCCTTGACCTCTCCCTCTGTTGAAATATCATTCACGATCTCTCCCTCCTCTGTTGTATCATCCTTGACCTCTCCCTCTGTTGAAATATCATTCACGATCTCTCCCTCCTCTGTTGTATCATCCGTGACCTTTCCTTCTGTTGGAGCATCATCCAATATCTCTCCCTCTTCTGTTGTATCATCCGTGACCTCTCCGTCTGTTGAAGCCTCTTCTAAGATCTCTCCTTCCTCTGTTGTATCATCCGTGACCTCTCCCTCTGTTGAAATATCATCCACGATCTCTCCCTCCTCTGTTGTATCATCCGTCATCTCTCCCTCCTCTGTTGTATCATCCGTCATCTCTCCCTCCGAGTCATCTAAGATTTCTCCATCCGTTGAAGCGTCATCCACGGACTCGTCTCCGTCCGTCGAGGTGTCATACTCTGGCTCGTCGTTCTCCGTCGACGCGTCGTACTTCGGCTCGTCGTACTCCGTCGAGGCGTCACCTGAAGAATAATGCCCTTCCAGCGACTCGTCCAGTGGCTCCAATTGTTGACGAGGCTCATCTCCTTCCACGGCGTCGTCCTGTTTGGAAGGGTCGTCCGACGTGAGCTCCGGAATGTGTATATTAACCTGGATGTGCTGGGGTCGGCCTCTGCTGATGCCTGATGAGGTCGCCCTCCCTCCTTTAGTCCCCCCTCCGTTAGTCCCTCCTGAAGGATTAGTCCCCCCTGAAGGATTATTCCCTCCTGAAGGATTAGTACCCCCTGAAGGGTTAGTCCCGCCTGAAGGGTTAGTCCCCCCTGAAGGGTTAGTCCCGCCTGAAGGGTTAGTCCCGCCTGAAGGGTTAGTCCCCCCTGAAGGATTAGTATGGGAAAACGGAGAGGTTTCGATGGGGGGACTGAAGGGAATGAGGTAGTAGAGCACCGCCGGGAAGCTCCCTGCAACAGGAGGCATCTCCAGCACCCACAGCTTACCGTGCTGACACACGAACACCACCTGCAGGCAATTGTCGCTTTTGTTATTCGTCAAGAGCACCTCCAGTATGTTGATCCTGCCGGCGCTGTTGTTGTGCACGGCAGTCCATGGCGCCATTCCGGTGAGCACCATGTCCCCGGCAACGTACCTGACCCCTATGGTGTTGTTGGTGACGTTCGAGATACTCAAGCGGACTTCGTTCTTGTCGTCGATGAAATCGCCGTAGATCTTGCACATCTTGTGGTCGTCGCAGGAGGAAATTTGCGGGCGACTGTCGCCTGCGCCCTTGACATCCGACGCGTTGTTCTCCGACGCCTTGTCCTCCGACGTCTTGTTCTCGTACGTCCTACCGAACCAGGCCCGGGAGTCGCTTCTACCCAAAGTGCACACAACCAGAAAACTTATGAGAAATTTCATGGTTATCTTTTTCTGTTAGGTTTTAACAGTTGTTTAATTTGGTTTTATTTATGTGTTAAGGAATTATTTACGTTGATGTCTTGATGAAAATGGGTTTTGATGGGTGATGATAATGGTTTGAAGGGTAATGCCGATGACTTGAGGGAGGTTTTAGTGATGTGTGGGGTGATGGTGATGATGGTTTGAGGGGGTGGTGATGATGGTTTGAAGGGGTATTGATGGTTTGAAGAATAATATACATGGTTTCAGAGGTGCTGTTGATGGCTTGAGGGGGTGGTTAATGGTTTGAGGGGTAGAGTTGATGGCTTGACGGGGTGGTTAATGGTTTGAGGGGTAGAGTTGATGGCTTGACGGGGTGGTTAATGGTTTGAGGGGTAGAGTTGATGTTTTGAAGGGGGATATTTATGGTTTAAAGAGTGGTATTGATGATTTGAGTAGTTGAGAGGTGGTTTTGATTGGTGCAGTATTGATCGATTTGAATATAAGTGGACATAAGTACCAGAAAACAAATTATAAGTAGACAGGAATATTAAGCAACAATACACACACACACACACACACACACACACACACACACACACACACACACACACACACACACACACACACACACACACACACACACACAAGGGGACACAGGTGGAAACTGAGTACCCAAATGAGCCACAGAGACATTAGAAAGAACTTTTTCAGTGTCAGAGTGGTTGACAAATGGAATGCATTAGGCAGTGATGTGGTGGAGGCTGACTCCATACACAGTTTCAAGTGTAGATATGATAGAACCCAATAGGCTCAGGAACCTGTACACCAGTTGATTGACAGTTAAGAGGCGGGACCAACGAGCCAGAGCTGAAACCCTGCAAGCACAGCTAGGTGAGTACAACAAGGTGAGTACAGACACACACACACACACACGAAAAGTATCCACCTCTCATTTTATCACGAGAATGACTCTTCGGCGGATGACTCTGATGAATGATGACCTTCCAACTCATTTCCTTCTGGGATAAGATCTCCCTCTTTTGACTTACCGTTAGAAATGAATGTGAATACTAACCCCAGGCTGTCATTGTGCCTCCCTTTGGCGCTGCTGAAAGGGGCGTCTTCCTCCTTTCGGCGCTCCTGAAGAACTGGTGTTTGAAGGGTGATGTTGATGATTTAAGGGGGGAAAGTTATCTTTGTTTGGGGGTGGAAAGGGGGGTGATAATAATGGTTTCCTTGGTTATCTTGAGGATATCAGGAGTTGGTTTGTGAGGTAAGATAATTATGAGTAGAAAGCTCTAAGCTAATATGACTATAGAGCACAAGGAGGGAATATGAGGACAAGAATCTGGGATATATCAGAGGGAAAGCATGGTAACTAAGCACTAGCACCCTCGGGGATTGAACCCCGACCTGCAAGAAACGAGACCTCAGCTGTACCGACCAGTCCGAGTGATTGATGGGCCAAAGAAGTGTAACATTTATCCATGTAATAAATTCCTTTCAAAACTTATCATTATTCACAAATGAAAAGAACAAGAAAACAGCTAAAAAAAAGAGAGATTAAACTGTTAAACCACAACGAGGATGACTCGAGTCATCTTCGAGTTCATCCTCGAACTCATCCTCGAACGCGTGTCCTCCGTCCAGATTTCCTCTTCGAGCTCGTCTCCTTTGGTATAGGTAAAACCTTCGAAGTCGTATTATATTTTTGATTCATAGTCGAACTCGTCTCCTTCAGTGGGGCATCTTCGTCGAACTCGTCTCCCTCAGTTGAGGCATCTTCGTCGAATTCGTCTCCTTCAGTTGAGGCATCTTCGTCGAATTCGTCTCCTTCAGTTGAGGCATCTTCGTCGAATTCGTCTCCCTCAGTTGAGGCATCATAGATGCTGCACATCATGAGGGCGTCGCAGGAGGAAACTTGCGGCCGACTGTCGTCTGCGCCCTTGACATCCGACGTGTTGTCCTCCGACGCCTTGTCCTCCGACGTCTTGTTCTCATACGTCCTACCGAACCAGGCCCGGGAGTCGCTTCTACCCAAAGTACACACAACCAGAAAACCTATGAGAAATTTCATGGTTATTTTTTTCAGTTAGGCTTTAACAGTTGTTTAATTTGAACGCAACTCCATAGTCTCCTGAGACTGATGGGTGCCTACTACTACTAATAATAATAATTTGGTTTTATTTATGTGTTAAGGGATTATTTATGTTGATGTCTTGATGAAAATGGGTTTTGATGGATGATGATAATGGTTTGAAGGGTAATGGCGATGGCTTGAGGGAGGTTTTAATGATGTGTGGGGTGATGATGATGATGGTTTGAAGGGTGGTGATGATGGTTTGAGGCGTAGAGTTGATGATTTGAAGGGGGATATTTATGGTTTAAAGAGTGGTATTGATGATTTGAGTAGTTGAGAGGTGGTTTTGATTGGTGCAGCATTGATCGACTTGAATATAAGTGGACATAAGTACCAGAAAACAAATTATAAGTAGACAAAAAAATAAGCAACAATACACACACACACACGCCCGCAGGCACGCACGCACACACACACACACACACACACACACACACACACACACACACACACACACACACACACACACACACACACACACATACATACACACACGCGCACACACACACACGCACACACACACACACACACACACACACACACACACGCACACACACACGCACACACACACACACACACACACACACACACACACACACACACACGCACGCACGGGAAAATGGGACAGGAGTCATTGCTGTAAACAACCGATAGCTAGAAAGGCGGGATCCAAGAGTCAATGCTCGATCCTGCAAGCACATATAGGTGAGTACATATAGGTGAGTACACACACACAGGCTGGCGAGACTGGCTAACATCAGAACAGCCTTCAGGAACTTGTGTAAGGAATCGTTCAGAACCTTGTATACCACATATGTAAGACCAATCCTGGAGTATGCGGCCCCAGCATGGAGCCCGTACCTTGTCAAGCACAAGACGAAGCTGGAAAATGTTCAGAGATATACCTCGGGTACTGGTTTGGGTGATGAGGATCCGTGAATTGGTCTATAATAATACGAACAAGAGAACAGCTAAAAAAAAGAGAGAGAGAAAACTGTTAAACCACAACGAGGATGACTCGAGTCATCTTCGAACTCATCCTCGAACTCGTCCTCGAACGCGTCCTCGAACGCGTGTCCTCCGTCCAGATTTCCTCTTCGGGCTCGTCTCCTTTCGTATAGGTATAACCTTCGAAGTCGCATTATATTTTTAATTCATAGTCGAACTCGTCTCCTTCGATGGGGCATCATCCTCGAGCTCGTCTCCCCCAGTTGAGGCATCATTCTTGAGCTCGTCTTCCCCAGTTGAGGCATCATTCTCTAGCTCGTCTCCGTCAGTCGAGGCATCATTCTCTAGCTCGTCTCCGTCAGTCGAGGCATCATTCTCTAGCTCGTCTCCCCCAGTTGAGGTATCATTCTCGAGCTCGTCTCCGTCAGTTGAGGCATCATTCTCGAGCTCGTCTCTGTCAGTCGAGGCATCATTCTCTAGCTCGTCTCCGTCAGTCGAGGCATCATTCTCTAGCTCGTCTCCCCCAGTTGAGGTATCATTCTCGAGCTCGTCTCCGTCAGTTGAGGCATCATTCTCTAGCTCGTCTTCCCCAGTTGAGGCATCATTCTCGAGCTCGTCTCCCCCAGTTGAGGCATCATTCTCTAGCTCGTCTTCCCCAGTTGAGGCATCATTTGCGGGTTTGTTTCCCTCAGTTGAGGCATAATCCTCGAACTCGTCTCCCTCAGTTGAAGCATCCGACTCATCTCCCTCAGTTGAGGCATCATTCTTCGGCTCGTCGAGGCCCATAAAGGCATTCATGGCTTCGGAGAGAGCATTATCTGGAGGATAATCGTCGTCGGATGGTCCCTTTGGTTGACTATCCTCCAACTCATTTTGCTCCAACTCATTTTCCTCCCAGTAGCGATCATCATCGTCTGATCCATCACCCGTGAGGTCCGGAATGCGTATATTGACCTGGATGTGCTGGGGTCTGCTTTGGGCGCTGCCTCTGGTGCTGCCTCGGGTACCGCCTCGGGTACCGCCCCGGGTACTGGGTTGGGTACTGGTTCGGTTAGTTTGTTGGGTGCTACCGGAAGTGTTGTTTCGCCCGTCAGGACGACCAGGATCCTTGAATTGGTCTTTGGACGGGGTGAGGTAGTAGAGCACCGCCGGGAAGCTCCCTGCAACAGGAGGCATCTCCAGCACCCACAGCTTGTCGTTCTGACACACCAACACCACCTGCAGGCAGTTGTCGCTTTTGTTATTCGTCAAGAGCACCTCCAGTATGTTGATCCTGCCGGCGCTGTTGTTGCGTACCGGGGGCCTTGGCGTTTTGCCTATGAGCACCGTGTTCCAGGAAGTGTACTTGACCCCGATGTTATTGTCCGATGTGTTGAAGATAATCAAATGGACTTCGTTCTCCGGCTCGCCGTAACTCCCCTCGATTTCGCACGTCCTGTGGGAGCCGCAGGAGGGCAGGGAAGTGCCGCCTGTGGTCGTGTCTTCCAGGGCCATACCTTCTGTGGCCTGGTTCTCGTCTTCCAGGGCCATACCTTCTGTGGCCTGGTTCTCGTCTTCCAGGGCCATACCTTCTGTGGCCTGGTTCTCGTCTTCCAGGGCCATACCTTCTGTGGCCTGGTTCTCGTCTTCCAGGGCCATACCTTCTGTGGCCTGGTTCTCGTCTTCCAGGGCCATACCTTCTGTGGCCTGGTTCTCGTCTTCCAGGGCCATACCTTTTGTGTCCTGGTTCTCGTCTTCCAGGGCCATACCTTCTGTGGCCTGGTTCTCGTCTTCCAGGGCCATACCTTTTGTGTCCTGGTTCTCGTCTTCCAGGGCCATACCTTTTGTGGCCTGGTTCTCGTCTTCCAGGGCTATACCTTCTGTGGCCTGGTTCTCGTCTCCTGGGGCCATACTTTCTAAGGCCTCGCTGCGCCAACTCTGGGAACAGGTTCTGCCGAAGATACACACTATTACACAAACGCCTGGTATTAATCTCATGTTTATTTGCAGTTTTTTTTGCTCTTTTTTCAGATTTTTGTGTTTTTAAATGAAGGTTGACGTGTGTTTCATAGATGGAAAGGGGGTTGATGGTTTGAAGTGTAGAGGGCTGTTTTGTACGGGCGTTGATGATGGTTTGAAGGGGCGATTTTGATGTTTCGAGAGGTGGCGTTCATTGTGTGAGGGACACAATGATGATTTTTTAGGAGTGAAGTTACTGATTTGATGAGTAGTGTCAGTGATTTTTTTAGGGGGTTTAGCTGATGAGTTGAGAAAATACTAAGAAACAGATTACAAAAAAAAAAATACAAAACCACGAAGATCACTCACCCTGTTACTAGGATGACTCCACTGAGTCATCCTCGAGTTAGTCTGCCTCTAGTGAGATGTCCTGTCTTCAGGAAAAGTGAAATCGTATATCATTTCCTTCAAGGTACACCGGTTTACAAGGGTACCGGTTTACAGGGATACCGGTTTATAGGGATACCAGTAAAAGGGGTGATAGGAACCATGAATACACACACAAAAAAGTGAAAAAAAAACACAGAGAGTGATCTTCATCCCATCATCAGGATGAATCGAGGTTGGATGCCTCGTCAGAGAATGCCTCATCAGAGAATGCCTCATCGGAGAATGCCTCATCAGAGAATGCCTCGCCGGAGAATGCCTCGCCGGAGAATGCCTCGCCGGAGAATGCCTCGCCGGAGGATGCCTCGTCAGTGGATGCCTCGCCAGAGAATGCCTCGTCAGGGAATGCTTCAGCAGGGAATGCCCCGCCAGAGTCATCCTCTGATGGAAAATGATTCTCCACCTCATATCCGCGTGGGCTGTCCTCTTCTACGTTTGAAGGATCGTCAGACGCGAGGTTGGGAATGTGGATATTAACCTGGATGTGCGGAGATCTGCCCTTGGGGCTGCGGGAGTGTGCGCTCCTCTCTTTAGCCCCCCGAGGAGCAGGAACAGGAACAGGAGGAGGAGTAGGAATTTGAGCGTGATGAAGGTAGTACAATATCGGAGGAACACTGCCTGCCGCAGGAGGCAACTCCAGCACCCACAGCCTGTCGTTCTGACACACCAACACCACCTGCAGGCAGTAATCACTTTGGTTGTTACTCAGCAAGACCTCCAGTATGCTGATCCTGCCGGCGCTGCTGGGGGCCACATGAATCGCGCCTGTCATGCCCATCAGCTGCAGTGTCCCAGCCTGGTACTTGACCCCAATGGTGTCGCCGCTCAGCCGCAGGATATGCATCATGACGCCACCGCTCGGGTCGCTGTAGAAGCCCGAGATGTTGCACATCCTGTCGGAGGCGCAGAAGGAGGACATCTTCTGCGCATTTTCAGGCCCTGGGTCATCAGAGGCTCCGGTGAATCTGTTCAGCCACTTCAGGGTACCAAATGTGCCTGAAATGTCTGAAAATATCAGACCAACCAGCAAATATCTCATGTTTTGTTTTGATTTTTAATGGAATTTCATAATTGTGTTACGTTGGGGATTTTATATTGTTAAATGATGGTGTTGGTGTATTGGTAAAAGTGGGTTGATGGGTTGAGGGGTGAGGTTGATGGTTTGAGGGGTAGGGTTGATGGTTTGAGGGGGTAGTGTTGATGGTTTGTGGGGGGTAGTGTTGATGGTTTGTGGGGGGGTAGTGTTGATGGTTTGTGGGGGGTAGTGTTGATGGTTTGTGGGGGGGTAGTGTTGATGGTTTGTGGGGGGTAGTGTTGATGGTTTGTGGGGGGGTAGTGTTGATTGTTTGTGGGGGGGGGTAGTGTTGATGGTTTGTGGGGGGTAGTGTTGATGGTTTGTGGGGGGTAGTGTTGATGGTTTGTGGGGGGTAGTGTTGATGGTTTGTGGGGGGTAGTGTTGATGGTTTGTGGGGGGTAGTGTTGATGGTTTGTGGGGGGTAGTGTTGATGGTTTGTGGGGGGGGGTAGTGTTGATGGTTTGTGGGGGGTAGTGTTGATGGTTTGTGGGGGGTAGTGTTGATGGTTTGTGGGGGGGTAGTGTTGATGGTTTGTGGGGGGTAGTGTTGATGGTTTGTGGGGGGTAGTGTTGATGGTTTGTGGGGGGTAGTGTTGATGGTTTGTGGGGGGTAGTGTTGATGGTTTGTGGGGGGGTAGTGTTGATGGGTTGAGGGGTGAGGTTGATGGTTTGAGGGGTAGTGTTGATGGTTTGTGGGGGGGTAGTGTTGATGGTTTGTGGGGGGGTAGTGTTGATGGTTTGTGGGGGGGTAGTGTTGATGGTTTGTGGGGGGGTAGTGTTGATGGTTTGTGGGGGGGGGGTAGTGTTGATGGTTTGTGGGGGGTAGTGTTGATGGTTTGTGGGGGGGGTAGTGTTGATGGTTTGTGGGGGGTAGTGTTGATGGTTTGTGGGGGGTAGTGTTGATGGTTTGTGGGGGGTAGTGTTGATGGTTTGTGGGGGGTAGTGTTGATGGTTTGTGGGGGGGGGTAGTGTTGATGGTTTGTGGGGGGTATTGTTGATGGTTTGTGGGGGGTAGTGTTGATGGTTTGTGGGGGGGTAGTGTTGATGGTTTGTGGGGGGTAGTGTTGATGGTTTGTGGGGGGGGGTTGTGTTGATGGTTTGTAGGGGGTAGTGTTGATGGTTTGTGGGGGGTAGTGTTGATGGTTTGTGGAGGGGGGTAGTGTTGATGGTTTGTGTGGGGTAGTGTTGATGGTTTGTGGGGGGGGTAGTGTTGATGGTTTGTGGGGGGGGGTAGTGTTGATGGTTTGTGGCGGGGTAGTGTTGATGGTTTGTGGGGGGGTAGTGTTGATGGTTTGTGGGGGGTAGTGTTGATGGTTTGTGGGGGGGGGGTAGTGTTGATGGTTTGTGGGGAGTAGTGTTGATGGTTTGTTGGGGGGTAGTGTTGATGGTTTGTGGGGGGTAGTGTTGATGGTTTGTGGGGGGGTAGTGTTGATGGTTTGTGGGGGGTAGTGTTGATGGTTTGTGGGGGGGTAGTGTTGATGGTTTGTGGGGGGGGTAGTGTTGATGGTTTGTGGGGGGTAGTGTTGATGGTTTGTGGGGGGGTAGTGTTGATGGTTTGTGGGGGGTAGTGTTGATGGTTTGTGGGGGGTAGTGTTGATGGTTTGTGGGGGGGGTAGTGTTGATGGTTTGTGGGAGGTAGTGTTGATGGTTTGTGGGGGGGTAGTGTTGATGGTTTGTGGGGGGGGGGTAGTGTTGATGGTTTGTGGGGGGTAGTGTTGATGGTTTGTGGGGGGGTAGTGTTGATGGTTTGTGGGGGGGTAGTGTTGATGGTTTGTGGGGGGGGGGTAGTGTTGATGGTTTGTGGGGGGGGGTAGTGTTGATGGTTTGTGGGGGGTAGTGTTGATGGTTTGTGGGGGGGTAGTGTTGATGGTTTGTGGGGGGGTAGTGTTGATGGTTTGTGGGGGGTAGTGTTGATGGTTTGTGGGGGGGGGTAGTGTTGATGGTTTGTGGGGGGTAGTGTTGATGGTTTGTGGGGGGGGTGTTGATGGTTTGTGGGGGGGGTAGTGTTGATGGTTTGTGGGGGGGGGTAGTGTTGATGGTTTGTGGGGGGGTAGTGTTGATGGTTTGTGGGGGGGGGTAGGGTAGTGTTGATGGTTTGTGGGGGGGAGTAGTGTTGATGGTTTGTGGGGGGTAGTGTTGATGGTTTGTGGGGGATAGTGTTGATGGTTTGTGGGGGGGGGGGTAGTGTTGATGGTTTGTGGGGGGTAGTGTTGATGGTTTGTGGGGGGGTAGTGTTGATGGTTTGTGGGGGGGGGGTAGTGTTGATGGTTTGTGGGGGGGGGTAGTGTTGATGGTTTGTGGGGGGGGGTAGTGTTGATGGTTTGTGGGGGGGGGTAGTGTTGATGGTTTGTGGGGGGGGGTAGTGTTGATGGTTTGTGGGGGGTAGTGTTGATGGTTTGTGGGGGATAGTGTTGATGGTTTGTGGGGGGGGGGGTAGTGTTGATGGTTTGTGGGGGGTAGTGTTGATGGTTTGTGGGGGGGTAGTGTTGATGGTTTGTGGGGGGGGTAGTGTTGATGGTTTGTGGGGGGTAGTGTTGATGGTTTGTGGGGGGGGGGTAGTGTTGATGGTTTGTGGGGGGTAGTGTTGATGGTTTGTGGGGGGGTAGTGTTGATGGTTTGTGGGGGGGGGTAGTGTTGATGGTTTGTGGGGGGGGGGTAGTGTTGATGGTTTGTGGGGGGTAGTGTTGATGTGGGGGGGGGTTTGTGGGGGGGGGTAGTGTTGATGGTTTGTGGGGGGTAGTGTTGATGGTTTGTGGGGGGGGGTAGTGTTGATGGTTTGTGGGGGGTAGTGTTGATGGTTTGTGGGGGGGTAGTGTTGATGGTTTGTGGGGGGGGGGGTAGTGTTGATGGTTTGTGGGGGGTAGTGTTGATGGTTTGTGGGGGGGTAGTGTTGATGGTTTGTGGGGGGTTGATGGTTTGTGGGGGGGGTAGTGTTGATGGTTTGTGGGGGGGTAGTGTTGATGGTTTGTGGGGGGGGGGTAGTGTTGATGGTTTGTGGGGGGGGGTAGTGTTGATGGTTTGTGGGGGGTAGTGTTGATGGTTTGTGGGGGGGGTAGTGTTGATGGTTTGTGGGGGGGGGGTAGTGTTGATGGTTTGTGGGGGGTAGTGTTGATGGTTTGTGGGGGGGTAGTGTTGATGGTTTGTGGGGGGGGGTAGTGTTGATGGTTTGTGGGGGGTAGTGTTGATGGTTTGTAGTGTTGATGGGTGGGGGGTAGTGTTGATGGTTTGTGGGGGGGGGTAGTGTTGATGGTTTGTGGGGGGTAGTGTGTGATGGTTTGTGGGGGGGGGTAGTGTTGATGGTTTGTGGGGGGGGGGGTGTTGATGGTTTGTGGGGGGGTAGTGTTGATGGTTTGTGGGGGGGGGGTAGTGTTGATGGTTTGTGGGGGGTAGTGTTGATGGTTTGTGGGGGGGGTGTAGTGTTGATGGTTTGTGGGGGGTAGTGTTGATGGTTTGTGGGGGGGGTAGTGTTGATGGTTTGTGGGGGGGGGTAGTGTTGATGGTTTGTGGGGGGTATGGTGTTGGGGGGGTAGTGTTGATTTGTGGGGGGGGGTAGTGTTGATGGTTTGTGGGGGGGGGTAGTGTTGATGGTTTGTGGGGGGTAGTGTTGATGGTTTGTGGGGGGGGGT